TTCCACATCTCCCATCATCAACATACCTTGTTGCTCTTGTAAGATAATATTGTATCTTTTTGGAGGGAGAAGGATTTTTTTGTTGTTTCTGAATAAATCTAGAGGAAAGGCCATGAGTTCATACTTACAGAATGTAACCACCAATTGATTGAGGATCAAAAGATAATTGAGACAGTAAAATTCCAGATTTCTAGCCAAGTCAAATGTAATACAAGAGGAATCAACCTCTGAATTCATACAGGAAGAAAATTTCTGAAAACTGGAAATCTGTTTATTGCATGTCAGAAAATTATCATTTAGTCAATTTGAGAGACACTCCTCTCCTTTTTGCATATTCCTTCATGCATTTGTATATAAGGAGAGGCCTGCTCTGACTCTCTTCTCTACTCATCACCAGGGAGTTAAGGTATCATTCTTTTTAGTTCAATCAAACATCACTTACTTTCCTCCCCATCTGATGGGGGGGGGGTGGGGGGCAGGGGAAAGGGGTATCTGAAATGTTGACCAGATACAGTATTGCCAATCTCAAATGTTCCAAAATCATGAGTCAGGCCTCAAACATAATGAGAGTGTATTAAATATCATGAAATTTAAAAGAATAATACATTTTGGGTTCATTTTGTGTCTTCTGGTTTCTGAGTCTTTAGGGTGCACTCAAGCATACTGCTGCATCTAGGAGGGATAGAAACTTTAAAAAAAAAGCCTGAGATTTCGTTAACAACGTAACTTCAGGAGCAGGGTGGGGCTTTAAGGAAAACATCAAATATCACAAGAACTGATAACACTGAACATATCACAACATTCATGCCAGGACAATCTTGAGGCCAAACTAAACAACAGATATCTATATATGAAAAGAAAACCTACACAGGCAAGCTAAACTGATATGAAACAGGTTTAAATTGATTTAAGAGCATTTCCAGATACAAATTTCCACTGATTTTATGAAATAGTTTGAAATGCAGCTGATACTGGCCACTGTCATACACAGGATATTGGACTAGAACCACGTGGCCACATGGTTCAATTTCACATGGCCATGTCTGCTGGGGGTTTGGTGGGGTTTATTTTTTTGTTCAAACATACCACTTGTAGAACTGTCAAAGTGATCTAAAGAATGTGTACGTCGAGATTTTGAAAATTTGTCTGCCAGGTATGCTACCCATACTGCAAGGCTTGTGTCCATAGTGAGTACACAAGGGTCTAGAGTAGAAACTGGGTTAACTTTGAGCACATTATTTGTACTTACCTGTTCCACAAAGGACAATTCACATGCCATCTGAGAATGACACCTAATGCATTGCATGGCATCAGGAGTGTGCAAAAAGGACCTCAAAAAGTGATTCAGAGAAGCCCACTCAAGGGATGAAGCCAATGCATAGCACTAGCAATCCTAGCTTTGGAAATAATAGGTTATGGATGACCTCTGCCAGGGAATGATCAATGCAGTGAAATTTTGGATCTTTGCAATTCTTTGCTGTGTTGGTAAAATTATGGCCAGAGCTATGTCTGTTTTGACACATGGGTGAGCAATTCTCTACATTGGGTTCAGAAGCTCTTCTTGATTTTGAAGAAATGGTGGGTATGAGTCCTTTCCATCAGCTTTCCAGTTATCAATGGTCAGCTTCTCTGGGCAGGACACTGACTAGCTTATTGTCTATGAAAGGATATAGGTTTCTAATTTATGACCTGTACCTTGCTGTGACTACTGCTAGTTGTTACTTAAAATTCGAGGGCAGAAAGGGTGATCAGAAGGAAGTCTTGTACAGAAATTGTGACCTCTTATACACAAATGCTCATTTTGTCTTTGTCGTGCTGAGGATATTGTTGGTTTGGAGAAAAATCTATGCAGGTTTCTTTGGAAGCTTCTGCTTCAGATTTCTCCCTCTGCCATGGTAATAGTGTCTTCCTGGATACCCTTGCTGCTAGTAGCAACCAGTAGATTGCTATGTTGGCTTTGATAGTGAGGTCTGAGGCCTCTCTGTATTCTCAGCTACTAACTTATCTGAAGTTTTCCCAAACTGCTCTTTCTGATCTGTGCATTTGGATGTATAAGGTATCTACTTAGGATGACTGATTGCTACTCAGGGTGTAACATGGCTTCCTTGCGGCCAGCAAGTTAAAAGCCATTGCTCTGGTCACAAATCACATCAAGCGTTTGACAAGAAAAGAGCCCCAGACGTCACAAGGATCATACCCCTAGATGATGAGCTACTTGCTTTCCACTGAGTAGGCTTTCCTTACTAAATATATGAAAAACTTTTGGTCTGAATGGTGATAGCTGCAGCTTTGAAACTGCTGTATACTGTGTCATCACTCTTATGATCTATGGGGTCTTTTGGAAGTAATTTTCCTTCTGAAGGTGTTTCGCTGGTGAAGCTACTGCTGAACCAAACTTAGGCTCCCAAATCTTATGAAATTTCTTTGTTTTCATATCACATTTTAGTTTAACACTTGATTTTAATCAGATGTCCTTTTAGAACGCATCTGCCAGAAACTATGTATTTAATATTGCTTGAAAGGGAAGGCATTTCACTAATGTTAATAAAGTTCCTTGTAAGCCACTGGCACCCTGTCCTGGGAAAGTCCTGCAGTTTTCTTCCTTTCCTTCTCTCCTAATGGTGCATGTGTGGTAGCTCCTCTGGCTATTTACAGAGGACAGACAGCATGTTATTATTCATCCTGGCCTGGGGACCATGCCACCACAGTGGGGTACCGGTACAAATACTTGTGGAAGTTGTGGAAGTAGCTTGTTAGATGTCCCTAGGAGCCTAAAAGGTTGCCTACCTGCTCCCCCAGGCTGGCAAGCACCCAAGTACTGCAGATGCAACCTATTACTACTCAGGGCTTTACTCAGTAACTCAGGGGTCCTTTTGAACATTGGAAGGGATTTCCCATTTACTCCTCTAATGGTGCAGTTCTGCAGGGTGTGGAATCCTGATGAGTCTCTGTTCTGGTCACAGGCTGCCTGACATGCTTCTTATGCTTTAGTGTGAAGCCAGTCTGTGGAGTAGGGGAGGGGTGGAGAGAAAGACACTTTCCCAGCCTTTCAAACTCAAAGCCCCCTTCCCTGGGGAAAAAAAAAAAAGGATTATGGCTGATGATCAAAAGACACATTTCCCATTCTGCTGCTGCCTGAAAACTGAGCCTCTTTACCTGGCAGAGCAAGGTTCTTGGGCAGAAACTCAGACAGGCACAATTCCCATTACACTTCTGGCTGAGGGAAGGCTTCACAGGAGTAACAGGCTACTCTGCATGCCCAGTCATGCTGCAGCGTGGAAGAGGGGCTGAACCTCTGATTTTCACCCTACCTGTTCATTAACAACACTAATTGCTGCCTTGTGAAGAACACACATGCTTTTGCCTTTTTGGGACCTGGAGTCTCCGGGGTTTGAAAAACTTACCCCTCAGCGTCATGAAAATCCTCCAATTCATAGTGGGAGGCAAAGGAGCACTGCTTCTTCCCCCAAGAGCTGAGGACCCACTTTAGTATCCACGAGGGAATGTTTGGGTCCTTTCAGGGGTTCTCTCCCCCCTCCAGCCCAGGTTTGAGCTGAAGGGAAGGCTTAGTCCTGGATCCCCCCACAAAAACAGTGGACCTCATCTGAATTCCAAAGGTGGGTGGTACTGTCATTAGATGAATGAAGAGAGAAGCTGTGCAACAGCAGATGGATAAGAGGATGAGACGGGTATGAGGTAAATGGACAAAAATTTCAGGGGGAGGGGAACAGGTTTTGAAAAATGCTGTGAAGGTACGTTTGCAGCAGATTCCCTGCTAGACTGCTAGAGTCTGTAGCCCTATCCTGCTATGGCAGGGGAAGAAGGTGGCCAGGCGCCGGCACTGGAAAGATCTGCAGCTTCATCCTCTCTGGCCTCCTTGATTCCCACAGTGTTAGTTTTTAGTATTTTCATAGTTCCCACTGTTTGCCAGAAGCTGGGAATGGGCAACAGGGGAAGGATCTCTTGGTGATTACTTGTTCTGTTCATTCCCTCTGGGGCACCTGGCATGGGCCACTGCCAAAAGACAGGATACTGGGTTAGATGGACCTTTGATCTGACCGAGTATGGCCGTTCTTATGTTCTTATAGTGCCTTTCCCTTCATTTTATCAATTACACAGCTGTTAAAAATGCCATCCTCATCTGTAGATGACCCCACAAGTCTCCCGTCTTTGAATACCTCTGCTACTTCTTCGTACCCTACTGTATCAACATTTTGTTCTTGCCTTTGAAAGCTAGGCAGCACCACTGCACACATCTTGGATCCCGTTTCTTATTGTGTCCCCCTCACTCCCTCCTCTCCAAAACCAGCCTTGCCACTTTCTTTCTCTCACTCACAGCCTGATGTCTTCCTCCCTGTAGCCCCTCTGCATGAACTATCAATCCTAGTGTGCAAAGCCCCCACTCTCTCCTCATTCAAGTGCCTCCAAAAGACTCACTACTTCCATGAGTCTCACAAACATTAACCCTTAGCCCTGGTCTACACTAGGAGTTGAGGTTGAATTTAGCAGCGTTAAAATCGATTCAACCCTGCACCCGTCCACACGACGAAGCCCTTTTTTTCCAACCTAAAGGGCTCTTAAAATCTATTTCCTTACTCCACCCCCGACAAGGGGATTAGCGCTGAAATCGGCCTTGCCGGGTTGAATTTGGGGTACTGTGGATGCAATTAGACGGTATTGGCCTCCGGGAGTTATCCCAGAGTGCTCCATTGTGACCGCTCTGGACAGCACTCTCAACTCAGATGCACTGGTCAGGCAGACAGGAAAAGGCCTGTGAACTTTTGAATTTCATTTCCTGTTTGGCCAGCATGGCAAGCTGCAGGTAAGTGCAGAGCTCATCAGCAGAGGTGACCATGATGGAGTCCCAGAATTGCAAAAGAGCTCCAGCATAGACCAAACGGGAGGTACGGGATCTGATTGCTGTGTGGGGAAAGGAATCTGTGCTATCAGAACTCCGTTCCAGTTTTCAAAATGCCAAAACATTTGTAAAAATCTCCCAGGACATGAAGGACAGAGGCCATAACAGGGACCCGAAGCAGTGCTGCGTGAAACTTAAGGAGCTGAGGCAAGCCTACCAGAAAACCAGAGAGGCGAACGGCTGCTCCGGGGCAGAGCCCAAAACATGCCGCTTCTATGATGAGCTGCATGCCATTTTAGGGGGTTCAGCCACCACTACTCCAGCCGTGTTGTTTGACTCCTTCAATGGAGATGGGCGCAACACAGAAGCAGGTTTTGGGGACGAAGAAGATGATGATGAGGTTGTAGATAGCTCACAGCAAACAAGCAGAGAAACCGGTTTTCCCGACAGCCAGGAACTGTTTCTCACCCTGGACCTGGAGCCAGTACCCCCCGAACCCACCCAAGGCTGCCTCCCGGACCCGCCAGTCGGAGAAGGGACCTCTGGTGAGTGTACCTTTTTAAATAGTATACCTGGTTTAAAAGCAAGCGTGTTTAATGATTAATTTGCCCTGGCATTCGCGGCCAGTACAGCTACTGGAAAATTCTGTTAATGTGTCTGGGGATGGAGCAGAAATACTCCAGGGACATCTCCATAAAGCTCTCCTGGATGTACTCCCAAAGCCTTTGCAAAAGGTTTCTGGGGAGGGCAGCCTTATTTCGTCCACTAGGGTAGGACACTTTACCGCGCCAGGCCAGTAGCACATAGTCGGAATCACTGCAGAACAAAGCATTGCAGTGTATGTTTGCTGGCGTCAAACAACATCCGTTCTTTATCTTTCTGTGTTAACCTCAGGAAAGTGATACCATTCATGGTCACCTGGTTGAAATAGGATGCTTTTCTTAAGGGGACATTCAGAGGTGGCTGTTCCTGCTGGGCTGTTTGCCTGTGGCTGAACAGAAATGTTCCCCGCTGTTAGCCATGGGGAGGTGGGTTAGCCACATGGTGGGGGGAGGCAAAATGTGACCTTGTAATGAAAGCACATGTGCTATTTATGTAACGTTAACAGCAAGGTTTACCATGAAAACGTGCACCCATTATTCTATAAAATGTGTTTTTTTAAATACCACTGTCCCTTTTTTTTTCCTCCACCAGCTGCATGTGTTTCAAGGATCACAGGATCTCCTCCTTCCCAGAGGCTAGCAAAGATCAGAAGGCGAAAAAACCGCACTCGCGATGAAATGTTCTTTGAGCTCATGCTGTCCTCCCACACTGACAGAGCACAGACGAATGCGTGGAGGCAGACAACGTCAGAGTGCAGGAAAGCACAAAATGACCAGGAGGAGAGGTGGAGGGCTGAAGAGAGGGCTGAAGCTGAAAGGTGACGGCAGCGTGATGAGAGGAGGCAGGATTCAATGCTGAGGCTGCTGGAGGATCAAACTAATATGTGCTCCAGCGTATGGCTGAGCTGCAGGAAAGGCAGCTGGAGAACAGACTACCTCTACAGCCCCTGTGTAACCAACCGCCATCCTCCCCAAGTTCCATAGCCTCTTCAGCCAGACGCCCAAGAACACGGTGGGGGGGGCTCCTGCCATCCAGCCACTCCACCCCAGAGGATTGCCCAAGCAACAGAAGGCTGGTATTCAATAAGTTTTAAAGTTTTAAACTTTTAAAGTGCTGTGTGGCCTTGTCCCTCCCTCCTCCCCCACCCCTCCTGGGCTACCTTCGCAGTTATCCCCCCATTTGTGTGATGAATTAATAAAGAATGCATGAATGTGAAGCAACAATGACTTTTATTGCTTCTGCAAGCGGTGATTGAAGGGAGGACGGGAGGGTGGTTAGCTTACAGGGAAGTAGAGCGAACCAAGGGGCAGGGGGTTTCATCGAGGAGAAACAAACAGAACTGTCACTCCGTAGCCTGGCTAGTCATGAAACTGGTTTTCAAAGCTTCTCTGATGCGCACTGCACCCTCCTGTGCTCTTCTAACTGCCCTGGTGTCTGGCTGCGCGTAACCAGCGGCCAGGCGATTTGCCTCAACCTCCCACCCCGCCATAAATGTCTCCCCCTTACTCTCACAGATGTTGTGGAGCGCACAGCAAGCAGTAATAACAGTAAAAAGAAAAGGAGTATTTGTGGCTCCTTTTCTTTTTGCGAATATAGACTAACACGGCTGCTACACTGAAACCAGTAATAACAGTGGGAATATTGGTTTCACTGAGGTCTAACTGAGTCAGTAAACTGCGCCAGTGTGCTTTTAACCGTCCAAATGCACATTCTACCACCATTCTGCACTTGCTCAGCCTGTAGTTGAACAGCTCCTGACCACTGTCCAGGCTGCCTGTATACGGCTTCATGAGCCATGGCATTAAGGGGTAGGCTGGGTCCCCAAGGATACATATAGGCATTTCAACATCCCCCATGGGTATTTTCTGGTCTGGGAATAAAGTCCCTTCCTGCAGCTTTTGAAACTGACCAGAGTTCCTGAAGATGCAAGCGTCATGTACCTTTCCCGGCCATCCCACGTTGATGTTGGTGAAATGTCACTTGTGATCCACCAGTGCTTGCAGCACTATTGAAAAGTACCCCTTGCGGTTTATGTACTCGCTGGCTTGGTGCTCCGGTGCCAAGATAGGGATATGGGTTCCGTCTATGGCCCCACCACAGTTAGGGAATCTCATTGCAGCAAAGCCATCCACTATGACCTGCACATTTCCCAGGGTCACTACCCTTCATATCAGCAGATCTTTGCTTGCGTTGGCTACTTGTATCACAGCAGCCCCCACAGTAGATTTGTCCACTCCAAATTGATTCCTGACTGACCAGTAGGTGTCTGGAGTTGCAAGCTTCCACAGGGCTATTGCCACTCGCTTCTCAACTGTGAGGCTGCTCTCATCTTGGTATTCTTGCGCCTCAGGGCAGGGGAAAGCAAATCACAAAGTTCCATGAAAGTGCCCTTATGCATGCGAAAGTTTCGCAGCCACTGGAAATCATCCCAGACCTGCAACACTATGTGGTCCCATCAGCCTGTGCTTGTTTCCCGGGACCAGAATCGACGTTCCACCGCATGAACCTGCCCCATTAGCACCATGATGCCCACATTGCCAGGGCCCGTGCTTTGAGAGAAGTCTGTGTCCATGTCCTTATCACTCTCGTCGCTGTGCTGATGTCGCCTACTCGCCTGGTTTCGCTTTGCCAGGTTCTGGTTCTGCATATACTGCTGGATAATGTACGTGGTGTTTAATGTGCTCCTAATTCCCAAAGTGATCTGAGCAGGCTCCATGCTTGCCATGGTATGGCGTCTGCACAGAAAAAAGGCACAGAACGATTGTCTGCCGTTGCTCTATCGGAGGGAGGGGCGACTGACAACATGGCTTACAGGGAATTAAAATCAACAAAGGGGGTGGCTTTACATCAAGGAGAAACAAAAACAACTGTCACACAGAATGGCCCCCTCAAGGATTGAACTCAAAACCCTGGGTTTAGCAGGCCAATGCTCAAACCACTGAGCTATCCCTCCCCCCGGTATTTCAGGCAGGACTGAATCTCCATTAAACTTTTCAAGGTGCCCCAACAGACCTCACCGAAACGATTGTCGGCTGTTGATTTCAGGGAGGGAGAGAGGGGAAAGCAAATGAATACAAAACAAATCTGGTGTTTTTCTTGTTTTGATCCACTCCATCTATCTTTTACATCTTTTGCTGGCAGCAGATGGTGCAGTAGGACTACTAGCCATCCTCATCTCCTGGCTGATCGCCAGAAGACGGTACAATAGAACTGCCAGCAGGACTAAAGAGAATGACCCGGTCGAGCCACTCCTATTTTAGTCCCTGCACCCATGTCTGCCCAGGCGCTCCTGACCGACCTTACCGAGGTGGCCAGGAGCACCTCGGACATTATGATGGTGGTTATCAGGCCTATTGCACCGTCTGCTACCACAAGGCAATGGGTTGCTGCTGTGAAGCAATGCAGTACCGCATCTGCCAGCACCCAGGAGACGTACGGTGACAGTGAGCTGAGTGGGCTCCATGCTTGCCATGGTATGGTGTCTGCACAGGTAACTCAGGAAAAAAGGCGCGAAACGATTGTCTGCCGTTGCTTTCACGGAGGGAGGGAGGGCCTGTTGACATGTACCCAGAACCACCCGCGACATGTTTTTGCCCCATTAGGCATTGGGATCTCAACCCTGAATTCCAATGGGTGGTGGGAACTGTGGGATAGCTACCCAAAGTGCAACGCTCCGGAAGGCGACACCAGCCTGGGTACTGTGGAAGCACTCCGCCGAGTTAATGCACTTAAAGCACTTTGTGTGGGGACACACACAATCGACTATATAAAAATTATATCTAAAAAACCGACTTCTATAAATTCAACCTAATTAGTAATTAGTATATTTTCCCAAACTTGTCTTGGGTAGAACCAGTAAGACAATATAAATTGATAAAAAATGTATACGAAATCATCAAGCCTAAGACTGACATCTCAAGAGTAGGCAAGATAAAAAGACTGAGGAAATCCCTTTCCTCCAGTTTAAAAACTATCCTCTGGGTCTCGCAGTACATCTTAATTTATTTGTGTCTGTCTTTTGGAATAGAAACTCCTTATGGCAAAGACTTTTTTGCCTTGTACAGCAATAAGCATATTGCCGGCACTTAAGTTATAGATAACATAACTGCATCCGATGAAGTGAGCTGTAGCCCACGAAAGCTTATGCTCAAATAAATTGGTTAGTCTCTAAGGTGCCACAAGTACTCCTTTTCTTTTTGCGAATACAGACTAACATGGCTGTTAATCTATAACTTGGAACACTTATTAATGTGTCAAAATAAAGGAAAAGTGTTCTACAGGATTTAACAAATAGGGTGTATTAAAGGCACAATTTATGACTACGATAATTATTTATTCTGTATACAGTTTTTAACAATTTATATTGTCTTACTGGTTCTACCCAAGACAAGTTTGGGAAAATATACTAATTTCCCAAATAAATATGATGAGAAAAACAATAAATATTCTGATTAGAACAAAAGTAAACTTTTCTTGAAATATAGGTTTGTAAGAACCATCTATAGTAATATGTCCCAGATGGTGCTCCTGACCCAGTCGCAGGAAGGTTCTAGATCATAGGGCTGGTGTGGAGAGGAGGCCGTGGAGTGTTTGTATGGAGTTGGAGAGTGAGAGTGAGCCCAGCTTCCTGCTCTGAGCTTTAAGATCTCTGCATGGGGTCACCACGCCTATGATTTTTGCCCACCCAGTTTGGACCCTGAGTGGGTTGCAAAAGAAGACAAAATGCAGTTGGTGCGTTACCTTAGTAAAAAGTTTAGGAACCACTGATCTGTATAGTCCACTTCCACCTTGGAAAGCTCTGTTTTCATTATGAGGTCCGAAGGATTTAGTTGTGCGAATTTCATATTCTAGCAGAGCCCAAGAGCTTTCATGCCCACTTGGTCACTAAAACTTTTCCCATTCTTTTTAAGAGATGAGTCAAACATAAAATATCTTAAAACATTTTAATGACCCCAGAGGTAAAATCCTACCTCTCCCTGGAGTGTCATTTGTTCCCACGACAATCTGTTACACATAGATAGGGCCCTACAAAATTCACCGTCCATTTTGGTCAATTCCATGGTCATAGGATTTTAAAAATCGTAAATTTCATGATTTCAGATATTTAAAACTGAAATTTCATGGTGTTGTAATTGTAGGGATCCTGGCCCAAAAAGGAGTTGTGTGTGTGTGTGGGGGGTCCACATGGTTATTATAGGGGGGGTTGCAATATTGTTACCCTTACTTCTGCACTGCTGCGGATGGTGGTACTGCCTTCAGAGTTGGGCGGCCAGAGAGCAGTGGCTGCTGGTTGGGAATCCAGCTCTGAAGGCAGAGCCACTGCCAGCAACAGTGCTGAGGTAAGGATGGTATGGTAGGGTATTGCCACCCATTACTTCGGCACTGCTGCCTTCAGAGCTGGGTCCTCAGTCAGCAGCTGATCCTCTCTGGCCACCCAGCTCTGAAGACAGCAGCACAGAAGTAAGGATGGCATGGTATGGTATGGTATTGCTGCCTTCAGAGCTAGGTGCTCAGCAGGGCCAATCAGAGGGGGAGCCAGGAGGGCCATTTGGCCTGGGCCTCAAGCTCAAAGGGGGCCTCAAATTTAGACACTTGCATTGCATATTTTTGTCAGTTTGCCTGCATCAGTGGTTTTGGGTTAATGCACTTTCAATGTGTTGAAGCAGGTGAAGAACTATCACTGTTCAACTATGGGACAAGAGCGTTTGAATGGGCTCACCATGCTTAATATCAACTGTGACATTGCACGAAACCTAGATTTTTCCTCAGTTAGTGCACTTGCACAAAAAAAGGCTAGAAAAGCATTTGTTAAATAAAAAAATTCAAATTATGTCTCTCTCTTTTTTTGGTGCCTTATTTTGTTTTCATGGGTCATTATTTTTTATTTTTATTATGGCTAGGGGCCTCAAAAGCTAGAAGTGGCCCTGGCCTCTCTGGACCTCTGAGAGGGCCTGGCACTCAGCCAACAGCTGCCGCTCTCTGGCCACCCAGCTCTGAAGGCAGCGAAGAAGTAAGGGTGGCAATACCGCAACCTCCCTGCAACTCCCTTTTGGGTGAGAACCCCCAGTGAGAGAAATGCTCGTCTCTCCCATGAAATATGTATAGTATAGAGTAAAAGTACACAAAAGACCAGATTTCACAGTCCGTGATGCATTTTTCA